TGTATATAATAAAACATTATGAACCTCTACCTGTCATGTGTGTCTCTCCAAACATATTGAAAGAGGATTATAAATTATTGAACAATCTTTCAGTGTTACTTAAGTGGGCACCTGAGTGCTCCCATATGTCCAAGTCAATATACATGTAACAATTTGTTATTCTGGTGAGTTTTTTTCATTTCGTTTTTCAAAAGAAGATATTAGTTTTACACCATAAGACCACCGTTTCCATGCCTTTCTTTAATGGGAAGGGGGTGGTCAGCTCTGAAGGGGGCTGTGAGATTGAAGGAATACATCTCAAATCATGATATTTTTAGGAAATATTGGGCTTATTGCTCATTTTCATGGATAAAGAGAACCATTCTTCTGAATGAGTTAAGTTCCTCCACAAGGCAGTTCTTGGTTATCTTCTGACATGGCCAATAAGATCAGACTAAAGATTTTGTAGCAATGAGTATGTGACAAATCAGAGATTCCATATAGGCTGAGACAGTTAGCTGAGCTGGGCTTATAGTGAGAGTGTTATCTGTGATAAAGATTATCATATAATACAACATTAATACATTTAGTGTCAGCAATAAATAATGTTATATTAAAGCAAGGTTTCTATTAATAAAAATACAAAGATGCGGAATGACCACATCCTATACAATAAAAGAAATATCAGTGAGCAGTTTACTATGTGAATTCATGTTAACTTCTGTACAAATCCAAATATTCAACATAAAGGGAAGCAAACCACGAATAAAACAGAAATTGTATTAAACTTATTTATATAGATAAATATGTACAAAAACATTAAAAGCAGAGCAATAATTAAGCCACAACTATAAACCAAAAAGTATATCAAGTGGAAAATGGGAACACATTTTCCTCTGTAGCAACACCATTCTACAAATTGGATCTCATGAGAGTAGACATAAAAATAAAAACAAGAAAACAAAATAAACAATAAAAGAGCAAAGAAGAACAAAAACATTCTCGTACTACGAAAGTAAATAGCTCAGAACATATATAGCATCCTGGATAACTCAGTCTCCTAGGAAAGGATTTCACATATTATTGGTATAAAACGATACAATACTAATAAAAAGGGACCAGCACAGACAAAAATATACATTTTCAAACATTTAAAGAATATATAAACACAAATAATGTGTGAATAATATAGGCATTTGATCACGCCATTTGGCCATATTATCTCAAACTTAACACTATTTAAATATTATCCCAATATTGGTGAGTCCCAAGCTAATTATTTGTTACAAACTGCCATACTAACCTGTGTTGCTGCTCATCTATAATTTATATGCTTTTCACATGTGCTAAAGGGACAGCCCACTGCCCAAATACAAAATAAATAAAATAAAAAAATCACTATTTGGTAGCTATACCCCAAATGAAAACTTATACCATACATTTATAGGGACTCTCCAGTACCAGGAAAACAAATCAATTTTCCGGGCACTGCAGGACCCTGCAGTGCCCCCCTCCCACCACCCATCCTATGTTGCTGAAGGGGTTAAAATATTTTCAGTGACTTACCTGAATCCCTCGGCGCTGGGTCAGTCTCCGCCCACGCTCCTCCCCCGCATGCATTATTCAATGCTTTCCTATGGGGATTCATAGCGTGAGGACGTCCAGCGTCATTTAAAACACTTTTCATGTTCTAAAAACACAGAAGGAGGACTTAACCCTGCAAGGTAATTATTGCAGTTTATAAAAAGTGCAATAATTACACTTGCAGGGTTAAGGGTGGTGGGAGTTGGCACTCAGACCACTCGAATGGTCAGAAGTGGTCTGGGTGCCTGGGGTGTCCCTTTAATTATGCATTTTTCTCATTCAGGTATATCTAAAAAAAGCTTGCAAAAGTTGCAGTTCTACCTTTGCAATCTCTCCCCTTCTAACTGCACCCAGGCTTTCTGAGGCTGTCCAATCACAGATGTCTCAATGCAGCTCAATGAGAAGCTTTTGCAAGACAGGGGCTCTGGGCTATTGCTGTCTTTTGAGTTTAGCTCCACTGCGCTAACCAAACCAGGAAGTAACAGGATCTGTAGTCTGCTTGAAAGCCAAAGGGGTGTAACCAGGTTAATTTATAAAAGTGTTAATTTCTATTGAAATTTGCACTTTTTGCAAATTGAAATAAAGGGGACACCCTCTTTACACGTAAAGCTTTTTAGCTTCCTAAATTGATTTAGGGGTCTGAATTGTGTGTGGAAGGGTACGGTGTATATTTGAGTTCTGGACAGTTTCAGGTTTGAGCACCTTGCTTTCCATATACAGCTACCCATATAGGGAGTTGCTTATATTAGTTTGAGACACTATGCTAAAGTAGCCAGGTGCAGATTTGTCTCAAATGGTGGACTTCGCATTACCAGTTATATAATGTTATTTATATAAGGTAATTATTTGAATTCCTTATAAAACCGGTTATAAGCTTATGTATCAACTGCAAAATGTAGTCAAATTCTGCTTCATCAAGTTTAAAGAGAAATTCTAGACAGTGCAGAATTTAATTTACTAAATGGGTTATTACTGCCATTACTTAATACATATGTATATCTCGCAGCATAGAAATTGTTGTATGTATACATAAGCGAAAACAATAACAATATAACAATACAATAGTCCTTTATATTAATAGATAATGATGCTTATCCTCAAATGGAATATGTGCTGTGCCAGAACTGTGGTGTCCATTACTAAATCTTAAATATACATTTAAAAGAAAATGGAGCATTACATGAAAAAGGTTAATTCAAAATGTAGGTGATTTTCTGTGTTTTATTCAATGGGGTAATTTCCAGAGAAGTCATATTTTCTCTTTAAAAGGAATGCTGGTATTTATCACATTTCCCTGCCATATTGTAAATTACATTTACTACGACTCTACCTATGAGACTATTTTTAAACACATGAATGATCTTCCAAGTGGAAAATTGGTTCTTATAGAATTTGTTGCTGCCTTTAAATAATTGATAATAAACTCATCAGTGACATGTAAAAAGCAAACGTAGTTCTTCCATAAAGCGGACATGCAGTTTGCGAATGAAGAGTTAAAATGTACATTGTAATATTCTATGTAGGCCAACTTTCACTCCGGGGACATAAACCTAGTATTAAAGCAATATTTCTCAATGCCATTATTTAGTGACCCCCTAGCAGGTCTGAATTGTGAAATTTTCTTGCCTGTGCACATAGGGTTTATTCATTAAACAATAAATAATGATGAATGAAATACTAGCTTGGAAATTCCAGGCTAGATTAGCCAAGTTGTGATCTTTCCAAATCAACTATATTGACCTAAATCTGAAATTAAGTTTTCAATTCACTTCTATTCACTGGTTAGTGAAGAAACAGGTAGATCAGTGTAAATGAGTAGTACTTTGTTAAAGAAACACTCCAAGCAACATAACCAATACAGTGCGCTGTAGTGGTTAAGGTGCCATGTGTGCCTTGGCACCATTACCACTGAAGTTTATGTATAATAGAGTTTTGTAATTTGAGGATTTATCAAAGAAATGAACATGGTAGGAAGGACAAAGCTACAATTAATTTTTTAATTCATAATGAAATAAAAATAGTACAAAATACAAGTAGTAAATGTAAAATATACACAATTGCATATGTAGGAATGTCATACACAATTGCATACATAGGGATGTCAATTGAAAACATAAAAAAGATACACCGAATCTGATTGACAAGCCTGGTTCAGTATTGCTAATAGGACCATTGTTGAGTATATTGTTCTTTCTCTGTCCGTGGAGGAAGTCAGATTCTCAAACTGTCTAATCTCCTCCACTACTTTAATCCATCCTCTTGGGGCCATATATTTACGTCATTTCAAGGGTATTGTTGGCTTCGCGGTCTAGAAAAGTTGTAGTACTATAGATTTTCTTCTATGTTTTGAGAAGGATGATGCAATAGCATTGCAGCCAGAATAAAAGTAGGAAGGTCAATATATTTGCATATTTCCCACCAAATATGTAGCTTGTCTCAAACATTCTGTGAGCAAATAGAGCAAACATCAGACAAAGTAGATATCCAGTCAAGTAAGCCTTTGGGTGTCTGATGATTTACTGTTGTGTAAATCATTTTTATGATGTTTCCTGTGTGTGCTGATACTGAGAAGGTGTGTGCAGTACCATGATTTAAAAACAAATAAAAAAATTTTTTGCAGTGCATAGGATGATTACACACAAGCCTGAGGTTCCCCAAAGGCAATCCTCCGGCTACACATCAAGCTTTACATTTGGGGTATTGAATGAACGTGCACATTTTTTATCTATAGTGCAGTAGCGTAATGATAAAACACTCTGTCCTTTGAGAATTTGTGAAAAAGGAAAACTATGAATAAACAAGCTTAAGTCAATAGTCGATTGGTCAGTAGTAACTGCATGACCGAACGTAAACACAATACTTATATCAAACACAGTGCTTATATCGCTGCCTCAGTAGGTAAGAAATGCGTAAGGTTGAAGGGATATGTATTCCCGTGGGGAGTAAACTCTGGGTGCAGCTAGTATGGTGTAAACCTGGAGGCATGTGTCACTGGAATATGAATACCACTGCAGCTAGCACAAGACACGATGATGTGAAAGTAACATGAAATCAAACATAAACAATCGGTCACCAACAGTCACTGGTGGAGGCAGTATGAGGTACATGGCTATTAACTCATCTTTAGTGGCAAGTGTCCTGGTCAGCCAACACCTGCCTGAGGTATTTCACAGACCTGTTTAGGCGCCCATGTGAGCCCTGGTCTCAGTCTCTGCTTGTGCTCGGGATGCGCCCTGTTTCGTGACTGTGTGCCTTCGTTTGTCTGGCTTGGTGCTGCAGCCATTTTGAGCACCGTTTCTTGCCGTCTCTTCGTCCGACCAAGTGTTGCTGTATTTTCGCTGGCTCTATTGCTGGTTGCTGCTTGGCGGTGAGGGGGGCAAGGGTGCTCTGTTTTGGCTGTTCTCTTGGTCCTGTGGGTCGGTTGCAGGCCACTGTTGCTAGTGATGGGGCTCCAGATGCTTTTCCTCAAGATGGCGCCCCTGTGGCATTGGCTTTTTCGGGCTAGTAGAGCCTGTGGGAGTGTTTGTTTCCTGCCGTGCGGCTACCCGGTCCAGGCTTCGTAGCTCGCCCTTTGTCTGGGTCACCGGGTGTGGCGGTCGCATATAGGCCTCCAGCTTCTCCCAGAAGGAGTTAAAGATTTCGGCCATATGGAGCTCTGTGTCCGTTGTGATGTGGGGTGCTTCCCCGTCCGCCGCCATACTGGAGGCGTCTCGTGCCGGGTTGCCCCCCTGTAGTGCAGGCTCGATCTTGGTGCGGGGCCTTGTTAATCTGCCCCTGTTGGACAGGGAGGATCAGGATATCCCCCGCTGGTCCATGGGGGGGAGGGGGATAGGAGGCAAGTCCGCCAAGGGGACAGTATGCGGCTTTGCTGGCGGGGAGAGCGACTGCCTCTCCCTGGCGCTGGCTCGAGTAGGCCCCAGTGTCCTTTGGGGGTTCACGAGGAGTGTGCGCCTTGTTTTTAGGGTTGTTGGGTACCCCCAAGTTTCCCCTGGTTGCAGCATGCCTTTCCTGACGATATTGGCTCTGCTTTTCGGGGTGTTTACCCCCAAATAAGTCGCTGTGGTCGGGAGCTGCTCCACTGTGCGTCTTTCCCGCTCGGCAGTCAGGCTCCGCCTCCCCAGTAGCATGATTTTATCCCTTATGTCCTCTGTAAGTGTTAAATAGAGAGCTTCCCCCCTTTTGTGGGTTCCAGGAGAAAGAGAAAAAATATATATTTATTTTCTTTAATATTGTATATTTTATTGAGATGCATTTACGATGGGGAGCCTTCCTTGTGTTGGCCTAGAATAGAAGACGGGTTGTGTCAGGGCATGTATAAAGGTTCCAAGAGTGTTAGGAAGTTGTAGTTTTGGGACCTACCATAATGTGCTTGGCCCTAGCATGGATATGGTTGGTAAATATACAAGCTTTATTAGCCGTAAAATCTTTGTTTTCACAGTGGAAGCAAAAAGCTGGTACTATCAAAGTATTTCTTTACAAATCCTTTCCAGATCTGTAAGGTGTTTGCCACAAACACATCACCACAAGCCAGTCCTCAATTATTCCTCCCATTAACCATGCCAGAGCAGCCATTGAGAACGTTACTGCTTGATCTTCAAGTTGTACCCAGAGTTTGGGTAAGTCCTCCATGTGCCAAGAATCAATCCTAGATATGACTGTGACTGCATAATAGCACTCATTTATGCTGTTGTGTTTGAGATTTTTTGTATTGAATGTGAGCTATTTTATAAAATGTATTTCCCCAGATAAAATGCCCATATGTATTAATGAACGTCCTTAAAAAATTGCAGAGGTGATTGAACATAGATAATATAATGATTATTTTGGTTACTTATTATGAAAAGAGGTAGTATGAAACCAAGCAAATATCTTACTTTTCATTTGACAAGTAGCAGGAATAGTAATGAATACTGGAGCAGTGAATCCAGGAGAGGTAAGTAGATAAATCAAATTTCAGTACCATGCAATTAATCAGAGGGAAAATCGAGTTCCTTAGTCAATAGATAAGCCAAAGTTCAGTACCATGCAATCAATCAGAGGGAGATCCAGTTCCTTAGTTAGTGGATAAGCCAAAGTTCATTACCATGCAATCAATCAGAGAAAGAATCCACTGTTTAAAGTCCAGAAATACAGATCCAGGTCAATATCATAATATCAATCTGAAAAGCGTAGTCAAAGTCGATGTCCAAGAAAATTACCAGAGATTATTTAGGTAGAAAAAGAAGAGGTAGTATAGCTAATTTAGAGATGGGGCCCAAGGATGAGGTACCTTGAAAAAGTAAGGTTATGGAAAAACTAAGTTAGTCACATTAACATTGCAGTAAGGCACTGGCGGTGTGCCTCTAAATTCATTCACGCTACGTTCGTCAGTGTCTCCCTTAATACATCCCAATAACCTGAAATCATGACAAATAATCTGGAAGAGATAATGCCCTGCAGAGTTGACACATAAGATGCAGTTGGTGGATGAGTAAATATGTAATAGCTCCACCCTCATCACTAGATGTAGAAGTCAAATCCAAAATAACTTTATATTTATATTTGTGTACGGGGTAATTCGAGGACGTACAATTAAAAGTATGTGGTTCGATAAGGACCAAAGTCGGTTGAGGTGTGCCGAAACCGACGAGAGGTCAGGCCTGCAAAAGAGGGCAAAAATATGAGACAAGATTAATTTCACAATTAGTAGTCATTTAGTCATATTATCGAAATGACCGACTGGTTTTATCCTGGGTTAGAAATGTTACCATTGTATACCAACTTCCCATATTTACTTATGTGTGTTGTACCACGCCCGTAGAGGCTGCTGTTGTATTGACATGGAATTCGTGGCCCGAGTAGGAGGATTAAGGCCTGAAAGTAACAAATATCACAGTTAAATAGTAAGGGATATTTAGGGCCTGGCTAACCTGGTCTTTGATTACTAGTATAAATTTGAACCGGGCACAATTTAAATTGCCCAACTGAGTTTTGGTATAGATGATGAACAATTGTAGATTTCTTAAATTCTTGATGCATGGGTAAAGGTCAAATGTTCCCGACAGCGAAATTTTCTCTTTTGGACTCAAGAAAACGTAATAAGCCAAGTAAGCTGCTGACTTAAATTACTATGTTAGTCGGCTATAAAAGGGGGGGCTTAATGGTTAATTTGAAAACTCCCCCCTATATTGTATGGTTGATAGGAAGTGAATTGGATGATTTGTGGCGTATAGTTCTCTGACACCTGTCAGCGCTCTTCCTGAATAAGAAAGAAAATGGGAGCTGTTGGGTACATTGTTTACATGTAATGTTAAATTCCTGTAGGTATAGTTTCAATAGTTGTGTAGGCTGGGTTTAGAGAGATGTGGCAAAAATGTGCAAGCAACCATTTATAACTAACACATTTATTATCTTGAATCATATCTCATACTAACACATATCGTAAGCTGTAGAGTATGTTTGATTAGTATTCGTAGACGAATCTTACCTGCGTAAAACGATAATCTTAAGGCATTATTAGACCTTTTTGACCTGCAGAGGGTCTCTGGAGTGTATGTTCTTTAAGCTCAACCTTTACTTTTAAGCAAGGTCCGACTTCAGGACTATAGGAGCGGCTAGGGCGGGGGACTTGAGAAAAGATAGTACGTTACCTGGAGCTATTTCTTGTAGCATGCTGTGAGGAGGGAGGAAAAATATATATATGTTTTAACTATGCAGACTTTGATGCCCATTGAATATCCTGTATAGTAGAGCTTCTTGCGAACAAGTACGGATAGGTGAAAAATGAGGACTATCTCGTGAGAGGTGAGGCCCTACCATTTGCCCCGTGTCTGGGAGAGGCCCTACATTTTGATTTGGCCTATGTGGACTTGTATCTTCTATGTGCAGTGGGTTGTTAAACTGTTGGTGGCGGTAAAAGAGACTATACTTGTGGCCGTGATATGTGAGGCCTACCCAAGACCTTGCGAGGTACTAACTCGGAGTTGGACCGCCGGGTGGAACCTCCGTGTCGGGGTTAGTAGATGGCCTTGTGTGATTTATTTGACTAAGTTCAGAACTTCTAACCCTTGGCAGGCTTGTTTCTTGTGGATGAGCGTTAACATAACCTACCATGTGTGAATAACTGGTTAGAACCACAGCGAAAAGGACTGTAACAGGCACCTGACGAACTATCTGTTGTGATGCGAACCGAAGAATAGAAATGAAAGTGATTCATAGTGGGAAAAATGTGTGCACTATAAGATAGGAACCTGAAAAGGAGCTTTGAATGTGGTTTAAGCTTAAAGATGATACGTGTTCGTATAACAAATACCCTATAATAGTTTACTTGACAGGCTTGGGACCCTATATGTCTGTATTATATGATGCCTATGGTGTAACTTCTTATACAGAACAGATAGCATGACCAAAGTTAATCCTGATGGACCTCTTGAACTTAAATAACATAGTGAAGTGTATGCAATATTAAATAACTTTATGAATGAATTGAATGCGCATGGAGAACACTGTGAATGTCAAGCGTGCAGAGACATGTCTCTATTAGTTGTAAAGGATTTGAATGGTATTCGTTTGTTCATAATGACGTAATGAGTGATGCCTCGAATTTGATATGAAACGAGTGGGAGTTCTGTTTATTAGCTTGCCAATGCTATAACCTGCATAGCCTGTATAATTGACTTAGATGTGATAATTAAGCGATGGTATGAGTCAACGTATGTAATTTAGAACTCAATGTACTGAAAAGCCCCTAATGGGTTGCAAAGTAATAAATAGTATATCTGTAATGCATAAAACTGTAGGCAATCACTATATGTACGTAAGTGTCTTGAGGACCTGACGATGATCCAATACAAAGCCTAAACCTGTACAACGTGTAACGTAAAGGCAGCGTGAGGCCCAATATACGTATTTAACTGAAAATATATGTAAGAAAATGCCTGAAACAAATTGTTGGAGGAAACCGCTGATCTTGGTTTCTACTAGATTTATATGGCACCTAGTGTATGTGGAATAATAGGATCACAAGTGAGTGCCAAGTTGGGGAAATATATATATTTGGGTATCCTTGTACTGCTATAACTAATTATCTAGTAGACCCTTAGCCCCAGGCCCGGACTGGCCATCGGGCACACCGGGCAAATGCCCGGTGGGCCGCGGTGTCCATGGGCCGAGGCCGGCAGGGGAGGTCTCAGGATCTCCCCTGCCGGTCTATGCAGGGCCGGCACTCTCCTAGCGCCGGCCCCGCTGTTTGTCACGACGGGCCGGTGGGGAGATCAAGGATCTCCCTGACCGGCCCACATGCGGCCGCCGGCGGGGAGGGAGGGAGGGAGACAGCCAGCCAGGCTGGAGAGAGGACCCGGCGGAGCTCTAACTTGCAGCTCCGCTGGGTTCCTCTCGCGAGATCTGGCACGTTGCCATGGCAACGACCGGATCTCGCGAGAGTGAACTCTAGCCTCACAGGCTAGAGTTCACTCACCCACGAGGACCACCAGGGAACCCCGCCTTCCAGCGTGCCGGACCCCCCCTCCCAGGCTAAAGGTAAGAAGGGAGGGGGGGAAATAATGACTTTTTTTTTTTTATTTACCCCCCCCTACACACACACACAATAACATTTATACAGGACTCTCACACCCATCACACACAGCACTCTCTCACACAGCACTCTCACACCCATCACACACAGCACTCTCTCCCACAGCACTCTCACACAGCACTCTCA